CCCCCCCCCTTCCTAAAGTTGGTTTGGTTTCTACCTCAGAGGGAGGAGTCGCAGTGAAATTCCACTTTGACGTGTGTCGGTGCTGAAGGAAAGGGACGGGCGGGTGTTTTAGAGCAGAGGTGCGTCGCCTCCAAAGCGCTTTCAGGACAAACTTTGATTATCCTCTGTTGTTTACTGTGAACTCTCAATGGAACAGAAATACCCTGTGAAGAGAAATACAATACTTTTACAAATACGCTGTACAGAAATGTACATTCAAATAGAGAGATGCTAGTTTCAGAGACTAGTAATGAGACACGCGTCAGAGGCAGAGAGAGCAAAAATATCGATAGTGTGGCGACATTTTTACTCCAGTAGATGCTGAGAACTGTCGTTGTCTCACATGCAACAAACCCTCAAAAGTAAGGAAGGAAACACCAGCAATTTATCACAACATTCAGCAAACATGCATTAAATAAATGTGCAGAAACAGTTTTCCACTTTTTTTCAACACTTCTTCTGGTATCGAAGATAGCTTCAACAGACCGTTTTTAACTTAAGGAAATACAATTTGGCCCAGGTCTGGTTTCATGTGAGACTAAAGCCTGGAGTGCACTGCCCTCTTCTGGACGATCTGTGCTATTAGCCTGTGAAGAAGTGACTGTAGGCGGAGCATAATGATGTTATCTGCTGTTCCCTCTGCAGTACCATCACAGCATGGGGGAAGGACCATGAAAAGGACGCCTTCGAGCACATCATCAAGCAGTTTTCCAACGTGCCCGTATCCATCGTCAGCGACAGCTACGACATCTACAACGCCTGCGAGAAGATCTGGGGAGAGGACCTGCGGGCGCTGATCGTGTCGCGCAGTTCAGACGCCCCGCTGGTGGTCCGACCCGACTCGGGGGACCCGCTCGACACGGTTCTGAAGGTGCATTCACGTTGGACGGCTTGCCTTTTATTCGACTAGAATCTAAGCCGGGACACTAACGTCTCTGTGCCACCCTTCCTCTCTCATTTCCCTCCCGTCAGGTTTTGGAGATCCTGGGTAAGAAGTTTCCTCCAGTGGAGAACTCCAAAGGTTACAAGGTGCTGCCTCCTTACATCAGAGTCATACAAGGAGACGGAGTCGATATCAACACACTGCAGGAGGTAGAGACGCGTGCCCCGTATTGATGCGACGTACAAGGAGAACACTAGGTCGCATGCATGATGTTTCTCCGTGTGCTTTTTCCACAGATAGTGGAGGGCATGAAGCAGCACAAGTGGTCCATTGAGAACATTTCTTTCGGGTCCGGAGGGGCTCTTCTGCAGAAACTGACCAGAGATCTGCTCAACTGCTCCTTCAAATGTAGCTATGTGGTCACTAATGGACTGGGGGTGAGTACCGATGCGTTAGAACTTAGTTATTTGTGTTTCGTTGTCCGTTTTGTAACCGTTTTTTTCTGTTTGTCTGTAAAAGGTGAATGTGTTCAAGGACCCGGTGGCCGACCCCAACAAGAGGTCAAAGAAAGGTCGCCTGTCTCTGCACCGGACGCAGAGCGGTGACTTTGTCACCCTGGAGGAGGGCAAGGGCGACCTGGAGGAGTACGGCGCGGTGAGTTCAATGCCTACAGTGCAGCACGCAGACACTTTGGTGCACAGATGTGTTTTCCAGTCTAAAAACATGCTCGTTTCTCTATTCACCTCCAGGACCTGCTGCACACGGTCTTTCAGAACGGGAATATCGTGAAGACGTACACGTTTGACGAAGTCAGAGAAAATGCTCAGGTCAAAGAGAGTGAGCTGGAAGTATGGTATTAACCCCCCCCCCCCCCAAAAAAAAAATAACCCCACTCCCCTCAACCCTTCACCTTTTGGCCTCCGACGCCCACCTCAGAAAATGGAGGCGGTGTGCACTGCTAATAGATCCCCACTTCCAAAGCTTGAGATTCCCCCCCGAAACGTTCCTAAAAAACCGTGAGACCCCCTTAAACCCCATCAATCTTCCGCGTCAAATTCCAAAGGGGGCGGGGGGGGGTCCAGTAAGCGACAGAGGGGTAGAGGTTGCGAATATGAAGACGAGCCGTGCGTTCACTCCCATGTGCCCAAATAGAACTTTGCCGTGTTGCACTGACAGGGCCCCGACATATCGTAACGTTAGAACGTGATTGGCTGTTGATTCCATGCGGAGTGAACCCACGGCGAGTCAAAGTGAGAATGATGATGATGGAGAGCCACGCCACTGACCGTGCCCCCCCTTGAATTGTGTACAGTACTGTTTAAAAAAATTAAGGGAAAAAAAACTACATTTCTGAATCTACTTAGCTTTGTCTCTTATGTGAAGGATGGTATACTACGGCTGTAATTGTAGAGGATGAAAGAATTTATTTCCCCCAATGTTCCGGCTTTTAATCAGAGGTCAGGGCCCAAACTATAAACATCTAGCGAGTACTACCTGAATATTTTGTACCGTTACTCCGCCAAATACAATATTCTGGGTGCATCACTGAAGGTATATTAATGATCATCTACTTGCCGTTATGTTGGCCACAGAGCATTCACATCGTGAAGGTCCAACCACACTGCAAAGTCTGCTCACGTGGATTTAGCCTCAAAGTGATTAATTTTTAATGTTTGTTTTGAATTTCAGATTGTTCACGTATGTGTACTGCTCTAGCATTTGTTAAAATAATTTTAAAAAGCCCTAAAATCTTTCCAAAGTTACAAACGTTTCCGATTGGGTCTTCACGATGGCGAATGCTCTGGAAACTTTTGCTGATAAGACAAAGGGTTGATGTATAAAAAAAAAAAATAAAAAAAAATTTGAACGGACATTGTTTTCACTGGAATGAAGATGATCTAACTGTGTTTATGAAAGATTCTGTGGCTCCTGAAATGTTAAATGTTGTGTGTGTGTGTGTGTGTGTGTGTGTGTGTGTGTGTGTGTGTGTGTGTGTGTGCTGCCATTCTCTTCCTTTAAAGGATTGTGTAGTATTCCTTTATGCAAATCTTCTCGTTGACAGGGGGAATAGAGAACACTTCCTTTTCGCCGGCCTTGTATTCTGAAAGGACACAGAGTTGTGACAAACAGGTGGCGATAAAGTAGTGAGTGTGTTTTGTAGAAAAAGCAACCAAGAGGCAGAAAAGTGAGACTCGGGATCAGGAATAACTTTGTGACAGCGTTGTACCGCCCGTGCTTTGGCACATTGGTGGTGCAGAGTTGCTGATCAAGCAAAACGTTGCCCTTGGTATCACTGCCTTAACTCGTATAAAGCAGCTGTGTTGTTGTTGTTGTTTTTGGAGAAGCTTAAATGTGCCCAGTGATGTTTGGATTTATTGCCCAGGTAGAAACGGGGTGTTGCTGATAAAGCCTTTTGGAGTTGATTATCTTCCCGCTCAGAGCATCTCAGTGTGTGACGGTGTGTTTAGTCACACCGCTGAGGGATGAGGGATTTAGGAGGTGCTGGGAGCTGGTGACATCACAGAAAAACAAATGGTTTAAGACTAGAAACTAAATATTTGACTAAATATTTTAAGGTCAGGCAGTGTCCCTTCCCGCCTATCTAAATTCAAATGTGTCTACATTTCTGGTCTATGACTAAATACCTGCAAAAATGAACAAAAGTCCCCCTGTTTGCGCATTTAATTAGCAAAGTTTTAGCATGCTAACATGCTAAAGTAAGACGTTAGCATGCTGGCGTTAGCATTTAGCTCAAAGTGTAGTCTCTCAGAGCTGCTAGCATAGCTGCAGAGTGTCTTGCTAAGACGTTTAAAACTCCAGGTATTAGTATGTTCTCTGCCTGCTCACTCTTTTTCAGACGTTCAGCCGCTTCACGTTCAAAAAGCTTCACATATTCTCACCTTGGAGGCGGCTACCACAGTGTTTGCCCCCGGGCAGCTCTACTACGTCTAGATCATGGGCTCTGACCGTGCTAGTCTTTTCTGTGGTTTCAGGAGAGACCTTGAAAGAAAGCCCTGTGATCTCACTGACTCCCGTTTCTCTCCTCTGGCCCAGACCAACCAGCCCGAGCACAGCCGAGCGGCTAAACAACACAGCTAGTCGTGTGTGTTTTCTTTATTTTCCCTTTTGTCACCATTTGTTAGATACTTGGTTATCCGATTCTGGAGTTACTACACAACAGTACAGTTCTTTTGTTTCCAATGATGGGGTGCATTGAAGTCTAATTTTACTGTTTTGATATTGTCTCGGTTCTTACCTCAGAGAAATATTATTTTGTATGACAAAGGAGAAAAAGAAAATGCCAGAAAACATTGCAGTAAATAACTTTGTTTACAAACGATGTGGCCATACTGCCTTCTCACTTGTACATACAAGAACTAGTTTGACTGGAGGCAGGTTAGGAAGACGACCACAGTAGATGGTAATATTATTAATCTTGTCGAAACAACCGGGTTTTTTTTGTACAAATAGGACTATCCAAACCTGCTTGACTGAACTGGCAGTGTGACTGTCAAGCTGTTAGCTTCTGTGTGTGTGTGTGTGTTAGTGTGTGTGAATGTCTTGTTTGTTATGGATGCAAAACTGTTTGTGAATACTTTTTTTCTTTCTTTCTGTTGTTGTTTTACGCATATGTATATGTTGGTTGTCCCACATTCTCTCCCAACACAACTGATATTTTAACAAACATAACTTGCTATATTGTCAACAATACATTGATTAAAGATGCCACCCTGTCAATTTGGAATGGTTGATTTATTTTGCCTACTTTTGTATTTGGGTTGATTTGAAATTTTATTTCACTTGTTTAGAAATCACGTGTTCAGTTCAGTTAGCTCGTCTGTCATCAGCCGCTCATCTTTAAGAGCCCCATTTTGCCAAATAAACATATTTCTGAGAGTCCAGTCTACAAAATGTAAACATAACAAAAATGATACACTTGTACAAAATTGTCAAAGTGTTACCTAAATGACATTTAGGTAACACTTTGAGTCTTTAACTTCTTAATCATTCTGTCCTCATATCTACTTAATATTTGTATGCTTTTGTTTTAAGACGCATCCCGAACTTTGTCCATTAACAGAGACCACATGTTTTTTTTCCCCTATAATAAAAATGCTGTTTTTTGAGGAATAAATCTCATCTCTGTCTCATCATAACACTGTAGATTAGTGGCAGACAGTAACGTGTAAGTCAGTCTTATGATGATGGACCTATCCTAACATGTAAAGCCGGTGGAGCTCCCCCTTTAACAGGAGTTTGAAGTTCAAACCGCCTCATGTTTGACATGTAAGATCCTCATCTTGTGTTAACGCAGTTGGTTGTAGCTGGTCTCTGAGGTTTTCTTCTTCTTTGGTTGAAGAATTTGGGGAGTCTGTGGTTTGCTCTGAGAGTCATATGACCTAGTCAGCCTGAGAGTCATATGACCTAGTCAGCACCGAACAGGCGTTTCACAGTAACTGCAAACTCAGCGAGGAGGAGGAGGAGGCAGCCTGCGGATGGATCCAATAAAAAAACTCAGGACACTTCTGAAGTCTTTTGGTACTTTTGTAACTTATCGACCAGCTGCATGTGTATGAAGTTGCCTTTGTGGGATGTTATAGAATGATCGTTTGGTAGTTGGAGATTTTTTTTTTTCCCAGCCCAGTAGAAGAGCAACCTTTTTTGACAACAGTGTGGACCCCATCAGACAGGGTCACACGTTTTTATTTAACATCCGTTTCCTGTAACTAAATACACACGACGCTTTCTCACCAAAAAGCGGAGCGTAATTTGGCAACCTTTACGCACTTTACGCCTGCGTATTTTGCGCATCATCAAGTGGAGCGGCAGGCACTCGTTTTTCAAACTACACTGCAAAAAATATCCGCTTGAACGAATGATATTTTCTTTTTCCATTGACATTTGTTGTTAAAAGTTCCTGAAACGCGTAAAACAGCATTTTCAGTGGGTAGACTGTTCTCGCCTCCGTGGCAGAAATTTGATTCGGTCGCAAAGTCGGGTTGTAAAAAACTTTAAACAACTTGGTCCGGTCATCTTTTGCAGCGTCGGCAGTAAAAACCACGTCATTGTGCCAAACAACTCCCCTTTTCCCTCCCTGTTGGACCAACATCCCCAGTTTGGGAGCGACTGGATAAGGTTTTTGGGATCGGAGACGCAAATCATGATGACCGGATTTCGACTAAACTTTACGCCGCTGAAGGAGCCTCTGGGCTTCGTCAAACTGGTGGAGTGGGTAAGCTAGATGCATCTACTGAATGTGCGTGTGTATATGTGCGCGTGCATGTTCGTGTGCGTTTCATACCCAGAAGACGGGGAGGTCCAGTCCCTTTCTTGGATTTTCCGGAAAAAAAAACCCTTAAGTAAACAGTTTTAGGGGGAATTTGTTAAAAATGCAGATGGCAGAAAATGTTTATACATAAAGCATGAACATGACTCTTTCTGCATTTATCAAACTTTGAGTTTTCACATCTATAAGAATGAATAAAATGCATGCAGTTATGTGATTTAATAAGCAAAACTTCAAATGTACACTTATATAAACACGCGAATACACAATGAAATGCCTGTTGTCACAATAAACCTTTCTTAAAAATATGTTCTATTTCATTTGAATTGTCATACATAGAATAAAAGTGTGGGTTTGACGAAGAAAACTTGGCTAATGGGAGTTAAGCTGAGTTATGTCCAGTGCACACATAACTGTGCACACGGTTGGCTACTCATGCACTCGAGCACACGCCTTTTTTTGTATCATGAGAGACTTGCAACAGTTTCTCATGTGAACGTCCAGTCATCAGTTCTGCTCTTCAGCAGTGGGTCAGAGGAATCCAGTGCTGGTTAATGCAGCTCAGCTGTTCTATTTTCTCATAACGCATACAGAGCTATAGAGCCGCAGTTACACCCAGTCATCTGACTCAGGAGGAGGCCGTGTGAGTGTGTTTTCACTGTTGTTGGCCTTATGGAACCCTGACCTAACCTTACCGCATATTTTGTGATTCACAAGGGTCCGGATGGTAAATTGCCTGTGCATATTTCCCGCCTTTAATGCCGGGAATGTCCTGTGCGCATCCCAGCCCATATGCGAATATGCCAAACATGCGCTTGTTTTCAGTTCTCAGTTGTGAGGATTTACTATTATGTTTTGTCTTATGTGATAGTAAATGAATATCTTTTTATTTATGGCAGTTGGTTTGAAAAAACAAAGTATTTGAAGATGTCACCCTTGGCTTTAGGGAACAGTGACAGGAATTGTGTCACTACTATTCTGATGTTCTTCGAATAAATGGAGAAAATAATTAGCAGATTAATAGATAATGAAAATAGTTAGCTGCGCTTTTTTTTCGGAACAGCTAACTATTAAATTCTGGTCTAAAACATGACTCAAATCTCTGACATTTAGGGAGGATTTGAACACAAAGCTAGTGCATGAATGCGGGGTCAAGCCTTCCATTAATAAATGACATGACTATTAAAACAATGCATGGAGAATAATGTATCAGTTACTTCTGGGCAGCTGCAGCGAGTGCGTGTTTGGCCAACAGATTTTGGACATAAATTTAACACAGCAGTTAAATAAAAATGATATTTTTTTTGAGCTCTGACAGATGGTTCAGGTCACCTCGTGTAAAGAGCAACATTTTTGCCCACTGTCCATTTAACCTGTAATCCTCTTGAGCGTTCTAAATTTAAGAAAAAGTTGTTTACTTGGCACAAGAGTTGTTCAGCCTAAACACTCATACCTCGCTCGATGTTATCTGCTACGCAGTAGTAAACAGGAAGGAGGGTTTGGAGTAACAAATGCTCCAATGCAGCCCCCCATTCACTCAACATGCTGAATACTGATGATAAAGATGGCAGGTCTCGCTGCCAAAAGAGGGAGAAACAGGTTTCATGGGCGTCTGAAGGAAACCCACATTCAAAATGAGCACACACTCCAGTGGCTTTTTGTTCGAACTGACCTGGACTCAACGACCTTTGTGTAAGAACATTGCTGATTATTCCTAACAAGATATTTCAGATTTATGAGTTATATTTGTTTTACAGCTAGAGGGTCCTTCCCACGAGAAGCACTCTTTCTTTGTCCTACATGTCCTCTTTTGTCATTGTTTGCATCACATGCAGGAACCTGTAACTGAACTCCTATCACACATTGTGAGCGGTTGCATTCATGGTTGATATGCTCCATACATTCTGAGGCTCCATGACCTTGTAGTGGGAGAGTGACAGAATCAGCCAAACAAGAATGTGAAAGAAGGAGCTAATGGTGGTGTGTAGCCCGAAAAACAGGAAGTGGTCGCCAGTGACATCTGGAGAAACATCTGGAGAGGGGCCTCGAGGTGTGTGTGCATGTGTCTGTGTGTGGATCATGTACAGTAAATGTGGGTGTGCATGCGGGTGTTGTGGTGTGACGCTAAAGGCTAAAAGTTGAGGTGCTATGAAACCGAGTTTAAGTTCAGATAAAAGTGTGTTTATTAATTCCCTGATAGATGAACAGACCGATGCATGTCATTACCTTGCAGTGGGAGCTGTGAATCAAATCATTACTTTGTCATAATACACTTCCTGTCCACTGCATGCTGTCTACCACAAAATAAATGCCTTCAAGTGTTAATTTACATAATCTTCGTTTTCTTTTTTTCATCACCATTTTGGTGATCTTACGGTTGATGAAAGGCGCTGCTTCTGATGTGTTGTGTGCCACATGTCAGCCTGTGGAGTCGCAGTACAAAGGGGACAAAAGGTCATCTTGACATACAGACATAGTTAGCGACTGGCTGGTGAACATAGTGGAGCATCAGAGGCAAATATTTCCCTCAATAGACGGTGGAGACCAAAACGGTGATAAAAGGAGAGGATATGTATATAAACTTACATACACGGGGCCAGAAACGCAACTCTAAATGAATGCTACCGTTGCTCCGTGTCTGCTAGATGTGCAAATAAGCCACCGTTTGCTAGCATGTTCACCAAATCAACTTTTTAAAGTTGTTACGACGGCTATTTAGCTCCCATCTGTGATGCACAGCTGTCTGTTGTGCTGCCGGCTGCTCAGTGAGAATGTGTGACGATGACATGCATGTTGAGAACGTGTGAAAACTGTTAGCGACACACTTTGAGCAGAACAAATGAGATCCATGGCGATACCAGTGAAGGAGCTCAACCCCCCCTTAAATAATGTGATCTGCCTGCTGCAGTTTGAGGGTTAAGCTAAGGAGCAGCCAGCCTGACAAAAAGAATTTAGTATGTGTTGGTTTTAAGGAGAGTATTAGTGTCACATGGCCTCCACGCTGAATCAGATGCTTTCTGCCCCTGCAAGAAAGAATTCAAGAGCTGAATGGCAGCATTAGTGCGGCCATGCAAATCACATTATATTTCGTTTGTGAGAGGAAGGTCTATGGTTTAGATTAGGCATTTCCACGAGAGACAAACAAATGTAAGAAGCTTGAAAAAAAAAATAAAAATGAGCTTGTAAAAATTGTTGAGTCGTGAGTTTTATTTTCAGCTGTTTGTTAGAGTAAACTGCTGGCCATCTGGTACTCCCTCTGGCTCTTTACTGCTGACGCGGTTTTAGGTTGCCGACTTTCTTCTAAGTTTGAGGTTCTGGTGACGTTACGCTCATTGCCCAATAGTACAAGCATGTAGGGAGGATCACAATCAAATTATGATTAGTTATGGTTTCCATTTTCCAGTGTCATAGTTGGTGTTTTTGGCATTGCAGGTTTATTTGAAAGAACATCCTCCCTTCCGCTTGAACAAATCTCCGATAGTTCCCCCAAAAGCAGAACAGAGTTTTCCTAACATCAGTCTCAAGCATCTCCCTAATCATTCGCTCTCTCTTGTCCGTCCAAAACAGCTCACGGCCATATTTGCTTTTGGGTGCTGCGGCGGATACTCGGGGAAGAACATCGTATCTCTCTTCTGCGGCGACGGCAGGAATGAGACTCTCGATGCCAACTTTCACTACCCATTTAGGTGAGATTCACGACACATTATTACACGTAAATCAATTTCAAAAGGACGATCAAATAAAACCTCTCCATCTTGTATCGTGGCCAGGTTAAGCCAGGTCCCGCTCGTCGAGGGGAACGCCACTCTTTGCAACCGCTCCGTCACGGTGACGCACATGGTGGGAGACTCGGCCTCCTCAGCGGAGTTCTTTGTGGGCATCGCCGTCGTCTGCTTCCTGTACAGCATGGTGGCTCTGTTGGTGTATTTAGGCTACATGCACGTCTACAAGGACTCCGACTTTGGACCCATTTTCGTGAGTATTGATCTCTTTTGGTCCGTTTTGCCGATAGTTCACCTTAAACCAACTCTGCAAATGAGAGACTTGTCCTCGTCTGCAGGACTTTGTGATCACGGCCATCCTGGTCTTCCTGTGGCTGGTGTGTTCGTCCGCCTGGGCGAAGGGCCTGCAGAATGTGAAGGACGCCACGGACACGGCGGGCATCGGCGCCACGCTGGCACTCTGCAAGGGGAGCAACGTCACCTGCGAGGTCACAGAGTTCGCCAGCATGAGGACCCTCAACATTTCTGTGGTGAGGAAGAAAATGCAGAGCGGCTTCATATAAACGAGAAGGTTTTCGGGGCACACTCGCTCACCAATCTCGGTCAGCGTCCACTTCCTCGGCTGTCATTCTTTTCCAGGATGAAATCCAAATCCTTGGCCAATAGATAGGCTATTTCTAGACCGATTAGAGTCACTGATTGTGGCAGTGTCCCCTCCCTGCATGTTTATATAATACGACTTCAGAAGACCGGAGCAGAAACATTAAGCGGCCTGACTCGCAGTCATGAGACAGTGAGCAGTAACACTTTCATTTTACCTCAGGCACTGTTGCTGTGGACCAGCGTCACAGGTCTAAAGCAAATGTGGCGCTTTGTGATCGATATAAAACCCATAAAATGTCATTTGTTTGTGTCATCACATAACATTTCACAGATTCACAGTATGTTATAAGAAATCTCCTGTATTATATATATATATATATATATATATGTATGTTTTTTGTTTTTCTTCCAGGTGTTTGGCTTCCTCAACATGTTAGTGTGGGCGGGCAACGCCTGGTTTGTGTATAAGGAGACCCGTTGGCACTCCCAGAAGTTCTCTTCTCAGCCCGCACCTGCAAGGCAGCAGGTCCCTGCACCCATCTAACATGCAATACAGAGCAACACAAACCCCACCGTCACATACGTGCACACCACCCACAGAGCGCTCACAGACAGACACAATTTGAGCACACGTGTGCAGATGTTATTACACGTACAAAAAAAAAAAGCTTTGAGAAGGTGACGAAGGGAGATTAAATGAAGGATATTTTGATAGATGGCCAGTTGAAAAACTGATGGATTCTGTATTAGATTTTGACTTTTATCAACACGCTAGCAGCTGTATAGGTACACAGAGACGAATTTGCGTTTTGTAACCCAACATGTCATATAATTCCTTGCACATTCATGGCTTAACTTGAACTGAGAACACTTCAAAAAGCAATGTCAATTCCCCAAAAAGATTTCTTCTGCAGCAGTAGGAGGCTGGGGGGAGGGCAAACGTGTTCTAACTACGGTTTCATGTGTAGATTAGTCTTTGTAACTTTTTATTTCTTACCTGTTTGATATACTATCGCAACACCAATGCGATGGTGCAATTAAACGTGTTTTTTCATGGCTCCTATACGGTTTCTTATGCTTTAGTAAGCAGATACATGCACAGACAATGACCGAACGTTACAGGAAGATAGGTTTTCTTACTTGTTTTGGGGTAACGGCTGGTTCATCCTGCTCTATCGTGTACCGATGAGTGTAAAATACAAGATTTAATTAGTTTGCCGCAATAAGGATAATGTGATCAAGGTTTTCAGGGTAACAGACAACAAAAGACAGTTGTCTGTGGTGCAATATGAAGCATAATACTCTATATACCATATTACCTTATCAGAAAATGACATTCATTGTCATTTATTGGCACCCAGTACATTGCATTTAACATTGGCCTTGACATTGAGCAATATATTTGCATCTGTGTTTAATGTGTTGGCTTCTTTCATATGTTTTTCTTTAGATTCAAAGCCCCTTGTGTATCTGTAAAATGACTCACTCATATATTCATTCATTCTTTCATTCATATGCCCTCTAGTGGTGGCTAGCAGGTATTAAAATGTCTTGAACAAAGCTAAATCTAGGATGATACATTTATAAATTGAAATTTAGTGTAGAGAGGTACTCTTTTCATGAAGCGCACTGATGAGGTGACTCCACGACAAAGTCATTATCCGTCACTGATTTTCCTCAGGAAGGTAAGTCTGTGCGGACAAGGATACAGGTTAGATGTATTAAACCTGACCACCGTGTAAAATGGCCTCCGACCCAAATATCAGGAGACTAGTTCACACACGGCGTTCTTATCACAACATGCACAGTGCACTCACGTGGTGCTGACTGTGGTTTTATGGTGTACCGTGAGAGGTGTGAGTCCATCAAGAAAACTTCACTGAAAGTTGGCGACTTAATTACTTCATTAAAATGTTGCAGCACCAAAGTGTGTAATCCTTAAATTCCTCTGCGTCCGAAGACTTTGATTTATTTAGTCTCAACTCCGGTACCAGATGAAGGTTAAATCCTTCCTTGATAGTGTTGTTTTTTTATCACTTTGAATGTCGAAGTGACTTTTTCATTTTTTTGCATTACTGTTAAACAGAAACAACTCTGCCAAAGCTCTCGTTTTTACTCCTTTTTAAGCGTATTCCTTATCTCTATATGATGTTAAATCAGTTATTTTGTTGTTGTCAAAACAGCTGTCTTTTGATTGTCTAGTTTTTTTATAAATCATTAATGAGACACCAAGCAGTGAGCTGGTGTGGTGTTTAATAAACCTCATGTCACTTCTTTGTCTTATTTTTCATTTGAACTATTTGTGGATGATTTTCTTTGAAGGAATTTCTGATTTTCTTTTTTATCTATTGCCTTTTGATATAATAAAAATGTAAGTGATGATGAATTCATACAACTCTGCTGCAAGACAGAGTTGGATTAAAGCGTGTGTGGTGTACTGGTTATGCCTCTGCACTCTCGTAATCATCATCCGACCATAGCTGTGTAGCTTTGTCAATGATTCCAAAGCATTTAACCCGCCAAACGGTCGTCTTCAAGAGAGACATACATTCACTCTGTGACATGCACAATTTCAATGTACCTTTGTTTTTTCAATAAAAAATGAATGATTTTTTTGTCATTAATCTCTTTGTGTGTTTGTATGTGTTCAGTGCACAACATGCACTCCGCCTGTGGGTGTGTTTGTCTGGCACTTTTCTGTCAGGCCTTCATATGGAAGCCAAACATTTTTTCAAAAACATCCATTCAACTTTAGTTTAACTTCACATCACTGGTCATGTGTGAAATAGCAGATTTTACAGATTAGATTTAAACATCTTGGAGAACAAAAAGTATGAAATTGTTTGAATTCAACTGCTCATGTGAAAAAAAAGAGAACAAATGGTGTGTTTGTCTGTGTGTGAGTGAGAGACAAAGGAGAGAATAGAGAAGTGTGTGTGTGTGTGTGTGTGTGTGTGTGTGTGTGAGGGAAAGACAGCAAGGATTGCATTCAACCACATGAAGTGTGTGTGGCTTTGGCACATCAGTACAAACTAATCAAAGTCGTTTCCTTTGCCCTCGTTTCCTCTGTATCTCCACCCTCTTCTGTCTCACTCGCTCTCCCTCTGATTCAGCTGAAACACTTGACTTCTTGCTGCGTCATGTGAGACGCAGGCGTGTAGCTTCTGGATTCTTCTTCTTCCCTTTTTTCAGGTTTTAAACCCACGAGATTAAAGCTGGACTCAAGTGACCAGTTTGTTCAGTATCATCGTGATGGAAGAGGAGTTGTGATCCACTTGAAAGTGTCTTGACTGTCATCTCGCCTCACTTTGCACTTGAAATGCAGGTTCTGTTTTCAGCCACAGGAGGTCAATATAGTGCCACGTGCGTGACCTACTGAGCCACTTTGACAATCTCAACATCCTGGCGCAGTTTGTTTCAATGGCTCGATAATTCATATATTTAATTAATGATGTCCCGCATTAAATTAAATAAAAATCACTGCTTTTGACCAGTGTCTATCTGACCCCATTTACAGTGCTTTGTTGTTACTGTAAAAGCTGAGCCATTATATAACAAATTGCAACATAGACTACTATTAAAATAAAATGATTTATGTTGCTGTTGTTGGTGTTTTATTTGCAGTGGAGTCTCACCTCTGACCCTAACCTGCACAAGGTTGCGATGAAGCCAATAATTAATCGTTTCACTATATGCACGAAATTAAACTGCAGCTGTAACCTTATAATATAATCTGATCTACTAACGCCATACTGTTATTCATAATTCTGACCTTCTCTTTTCAAAGTACATTACACCCATTACTTTGCAACTGCCTGGCAAGAGCTCATAGTACTCTAATTTCTTGTAATGAAGCTGAGAGAAGTATTTAAATCTAGCGTTGGTACAACGGCCCGTGGCTTATATTTCCAGCCTCAACCTCCAGTAAAGCATAAAGCGGTATCTGGTTCATCCACATGGTCTTTCCTGCCAGGGCTGATATCATAGCCGACACTTATTTCAGGGTGCAAAATACCTAATTGTCACCATTTTTAATTACAGGGATATATGTAGCATAGATCCCTTGATGAAGGTTTCCCTGTGTTATTATTAGGCCTTCTAAGGCCTGACCAATTACCTAATGTTTCCATTGCAACATCACCGTGTAACGGTCCTACAGTGAGAGGGACGTTATCATGCTATAGGCCACCTCCATAGGCTGCTGAACTTTTCAACTCGTGAGTAACGTTCGCTCCGCTGTCTGTCGCTCAGCGTCTCAACCCCTAAACCCTCCGACAGAAGCCGAACCAAGCCGAAGCCCAGCGACAACGACGTCAGCATATCTCGTTCTTTCGTATTTCTGCCTGCTGCGTGCGAAGGAGAGACAGGGGGGGGGGGGAAACCCGTCTCTCAGCAAAGCAACAAGAAGGAAGAGCAATGGCGACACTGGATCGCCAAATACCAAGTCCGGATACGTTCCTTTGCGAGCCTTGGTCTTCCTTCGTCAGTGCGGCTAAATTACGTTTTGTTGACAGTAAGTTCGCACGTCGGTAGCCGTTGTTGTTTTCACGGACAAACTGTCGGGAAGTGCGTGCTCCAACTGTCTGTGATTGAGTTGAGCAAGCCCCCACAATGCAGGGTCTGTCAAAGCGCAGCAAAGTAACTGTCAAAAAAATATTACTACCAAATGCAATATTAATAGGTCGCTTTAATAGTCGTGCACGGGGCGCGTGAGCAAAAGCTTATAACCCCTTACGCTGCAGAGTTTGTACCACTGGCGCGTGCAGTAATGCATATCCTGCGCGCCCACAGCTGTAAGTTTTGTTAGCTTTCTGACAGCTTCACTTTGCTTTTACTAAAAGCCAGCTCGCGCTGCTGCTAGCGAGCTAATGCTAACCATGGTAGCATTGCAACCTCGGACCAGCGTGGCTCCGCGCGTGGCCCCCCCAAAGTTTTGTTGTGACTGCTGCCGAGTGTTTGTAAGCGGCTGTTTGTGCTTGTTGTGACGCAGACTCGTCCCTGGATAACCGCGACAAACAGCTTTACTGCCTCGGTGAAGCCGCGAGGCTCGGCAAAGGAGGTGAGGAAGTTGCACCGACAGATACTCAACGCTGTCACTCGCACGGTGATGTTTGTTATTGTTTTGTTTGTACATGCTCTGCAGCATCGAAGGATGCCGACATGTTGATATACAGAAAACCGCCATTAACAGGCATCATGCACTTTTTAAATACATACTTTAGTTGAGATCTGAGGAGGGACATATTGATGTTAGTGTCTGAATAACACAGCTGTCATACAGTAAGTATCCTGTAACTAATGATTATTTTCTCCATTAAACGATTAATTTTTATGCCCATAAAATGGCAAAAAAAAAAAAAAAAAATCCAGCTAAGCCTTTGCACTGTTGGAAATAAATGAATATACAGTAGCTGGAGAGCAGGGGTTCCCATGTGTCTTTCAGTATTACCCGTAGGGCTGAAAGTCTGTCTTATTTATTGTCTTAATTATGTTTTCTTTTTGGCAAAATAAATTATTTATATATAAATATATATCTATTTGTGGAGGGGGTTGTGGGGTGCCCCTAAGCAGTGTGTGGGTGCCCCCCCCCTTCAGGGACAGAGCCCTGGGGAGTTCCTCCATATCCGACGATGTATAAATACCCCCAGGAGCACGCGCTGCACATTTACACACTTGAGTCATCCCTGAAAGTTTGCAGCAGCCCTCGTACAAACACACCGACACACACACACACACACCGAGGCGGGGAACGTCTTCTCACTCTCATTGGTCAAATGCCAACACACACACACACAACATGCCTCATCTTCCTCTCTCCGAGCCAAACTCCAGCTGTGTTTCCAGAATTGCTGATCCGTTGGCAACATGACACTAAAAACAGACACCCGTAAGCCTCACAGACACGCGGGGAAGCACGTCTTAAAAGCTTTATTTGTACGTTTGAGTAGCGTGGCTCGTTGTCGTAGAGTCAGACTCACTTTGCCACTTCAGTGTAAACGTATTTGTAGATGGGGAGGCCAGGTTGGCAGTAATTGGTGTGTGTGTGTGTAGTGATTGGTATCTATGTCTATTTGTCACTCTCACACACAGTGGAGATGATGACAACCAGCAGCAACTTTGTCGGGCTGGACTGACAGCGGGTGTCATCACCTCACTGGAAATAGGCAGTGATGTAATGCTTCTATTTAGTGTGTCCACCACTGTCTTTAGTGGGGATGGGAGCCGTCACGTTGTTGTTGTGACGCTTTAGGTGATAATGTAGTATGTATTAGCATTCTTAGAGTATATTCTGATGAAGACGTCTCTACATGAACTGTTTCCTCTATTTAAATCCTTTTGACTGTGGAATTCTTTTTAGGTTTAAACTTTTTTTTTTCCTGATCATAACCCAGCACACCTGTTGGGGTTTCTCCCTGTGACACACTGTCTTTACAGTTTAGCTACTCCTGCAAACAGTTTGCCTCCTAGAAATAAGACCCGACGCCTATTTCTGGACGCCTACCGAAAGTCTCGTTCTCTTATTTCAGTAAAAAAAAAAGGACGAGGGAGTGTCTTCATTCAAGATGCTGGAATTGTATCTTTGGCAGTTTTGTGAAAAAAAACTGGAGAGACTAGTTGAGTTTTTAAATCTGTAATTGCGTCCGATGATTTATTGTCATTAGTAGCTCCAAACACGTTTGTTCGCCAGTGACTGATTGTTTTTGTTGTTCATTTTCAGGCCTGTCAGAAATAGACGACGCACTTAGTCTGCATTTGACTTGGCAGATGCAGAGGAAATTGCATTCTTACTCACTCCCACTAACAGTCCTTTGCATATTTTGTTTTGGCCGGGACACAAACTGCTGAAGTTGTTGAGCCCTCGGCAGGTCGAGCTAACCTGCAGCAGCGTCTCACTGCTCACATTACAATGTTATTAACCGCCTAACAAGCCGTTCACTAAATGTGACCACATTCAAAAGCTGCTTCTCCACACGCAGCCAAAACTTTCTATTTGTGTATTATTACACCCCCCCCCCCCTTTTTCGGTTAAGTCAAAAACAAACACGCTTTATTTGCTTGTGAGGGAAAGCAGTTTTTAGTCAGCAAACACTGGAATCCGAGAGTTTGAATTGTGGCTTAAATCCAGCAGCATGTTTAGAAATAATAGGGGGGAAAAAGAGCGAGAGATAATCTCCTCTTCTGTGTTGACGAGGGGAACTTGTGCAAAGCATCTTCCCGCTATAACTGCCTCTCAGTGCAGCTTTACTCTGAAACTAACCGTCGGCCTGACGAGAAAGCCACTTCCTCTAATAACAGTTTATTTCACCGCGTTGGTATTACTCTCTTGCCCTTCGTTTTGATTCAGTCTTCAATCAGTATCAACATAACTCAAAAGTAAAGAAATATTCCTGCCAGCGATCACGACAACCTCAGTGTTTTTTTTTGTGTCCTTGAACACTTCTTGCATGCGTAATGAAACCCACTCTGACCTTTTGCAGTGTGTACACGCACACACGCACACCCTCAGCTCTCGTTGTCTACACGGTTGTGTGATATGACTTAGACCTTCAGTAACCTCCGCAGATCCTTTTCCTGCACACACACACACACACACACACACACACACACTGATGTGCACGAGGCATGACTGACGCTCTCTTTGACTTCCCAAATGACAACAAAACTCCCCAGCAATGCGAGGTCCCGACGCCACGGCACACCGTCAGACACACACACACACATTCTCTCAATTTTTCCCAAACACACACACATCCATCCGTACACGCCCCCCCCCACCTCCCCTCAGTGAGTCTGGCTTAAGCCCCGAGCTAATAAGTGCTGCGATTTCTGTCAGCGGAGCTTGTTTGGTTACAGGAAGATTAGGCTCTTAAAGCTTAGCCAACACAGATATTGGCTAATTTCCATGAGGAGAAATGAGTTTTTCTCTTTATTTCTATGAATCAGTTTTTGTTTAGTGGCACAGTGTTGTTGCTGTTTGCTTTCTTGAAAGGATTGTCTGTCCTTTCTGTCTCTTTTATGCCTGTTTAGTGATTGGGACACACGTTATCTGGAACTGTCATTTTTTGTAAAAGCAGCTCCAAAGCTAAATGAACATGTTGAGCATTGTGAGCTTCTGTCTGGCAGGTTTGTTTTTCAGATTTTAGTGTAATTTAAACACAATATATTTAACTTTTGTTTGTTTTCTCACTCTTCTTCTCTTGTTCTATATGGTTCTCAGTTGTTTTTCTTCTTCATGTCTTTCTCAGAGATGCTTGGCTACAGAGCACTGGAGGATTTTTGTCTTGTTGTCTGCCATGTCTGCGATCAGGTGGTCACTCCTCAGGGCATCCTCTCACACTATGGTAAGACACACACACACACACACACACACACACACACACACACACACACACAGCGACCCCACAGGCCAGAGGCACACATGAAAACCTCAGGCCATACCTCGCGGCATCTCCAGTTGTCACACGGAGGCACAGAACATACACACACACACACACACACACACTCACGCAGAGCAGCCAGATCAACACAATCATCTCTATTTATCCCTGCAGGGCTTTTTGAAACATAGTCTATCTACAACTTATCCTCCAGTCCAAACTAACACACACCACTTGTTTATACTGTCTAACACTCAGCAGGCTGATACAACTAGAAAACACTAAATAATTTACAGAGAAGTGGACCTGATGTAGCATTGTGCCCGTGTATTTTGTTAGAGAAATGACCATTAAAATAATATTCTTGTACTCCGGAAAAAATGTGGAAGCAAAAGGAAGATTCGACAGGCCGATGGGTTGATTTAAAAAAATAAAAATAAAAATGTAATCCACATGCATCTGTTAAATCTCACCTTTTTAAGAGTGTCGTTTAAGCACTTGATCCCGGCTCCCATTGGCCCTCCGGCCCGTCCGTCTACCTCTTTGTTTGTTTTTGACCGGGGCTCCACTGAGCGCGCTCGCATCTGCCCCGTGAGCTGCTGCTTCCTTCTGTTGGCGGCACGTGCACCAGCCATAGCCGTCTGTTTGGGCGGGGAGAGGGTGGGGGTGGGGTGGGGTGGGGACATGGTCACGGTTAATGAGCACACACACACACACACACACTTCTCCCTGAGAGTAAAGAGGCCAGTGGAGTTGCATGCTCACACATTTCTCACTTTCTGTTTCTCAGCAGAAGGAGGTCAGTGGGATTGTAAGACACAGTCTCCTGGCAGACGCTGGCGTTTTTTTGCTTGCTGATGCGCACACACAGGGTCGGGTAACAACAGGTCTAAAACATGCTCATGCACACGTACACACACACACACACCGTCAGGAGTGGGAATCTCCTGAGAGCTCCTCATAAAACAAAGCTATCCTCGGGCCACAGTATTTTAACAAGCTGGCGTTGTGGTGAGCCAGCAGGCCAAGTCACATGCTGACAAGTAGAAAAGCAGCATGTGTGAGTCACTTTCATCGAGGTCCACCATATACTTTAAAAACGTATATTCATTGTAATTCAGTCGAACTGTCCAGCGTCCATTCATTCTTAAATTTGTACTGGCCCCGTCAAGATGTTCTTACGATGTTTTATGCATTTCCTCCCGTTGTCGCTTTATTCCTCATCTTACTGTAATGTCCTCACAAGTATAGTGTCCTGCTGGGGGTTCTAAATGAAATGTTGTGCATTTCTATTCCCTGCAATGGCCCTGTATTTGTGTGTATCCATCACGGGATCTGCTTTCATGCTTGACCTGTGTGTCGAATCGGCACTGAGGCCTTGGATATACAGAAATGCACACACACACACACAGAGGAAGAGGGGGTTGGCTGCCTCAGGGGTCAGCGGCTCTGAGTTATACACGCCCAGTTTGCTGCTCAAGCGTTGCTGTGTGTGACGAAGAGAGTGGTCACAACTTAAGCTCGGGCCCTGCACTGCGTGGACGTTTAATATTTACCACGTCACGTGTTCAAGAAGGTTTAACTGTATGTTATATGTCGGAGACCTGCTCCATGTCGTGGACGTGTTCGTTTAGATGTCCTCAGAGGAACGCAAGCGCGTATATTCTTAGCATAAGTAGCCCCGGTGGGATAAACCCCTCACAGTGGCAGCGTTCGTACCGTGCTCTCTCTCTCCTATGAGCTCGTAGAGAGGAAACGTGCAGAGAAATAGTTTTTAATGCTTGTGGTTGAACCTCCAAAGCTTATTTTGGACAGAACAGGATGTTATAAAGACATATTTGATTTCACCACTCTTTTTTTTTTTTTTTTTTTTGAAGCAACGTGGGAGGATTATTGAAACTTACCTCATATTGATGTGTTTTCTAAGGGCTAGTATAATGAGAATGAGGGGAGTTCAATAGCATTTTGTATGACAGGACATTTGGGCCCTGAATAGTTGCGATCATTTTTGACTTGTATGTCAATTGTGATATTAGAGGGAATGATCATTTTTACATCATTATTGTCATTTTCATTGAAAAACATGATTATGGGATGTTTTTTGCGGGGATCTCAACCAAAAAAAGATGCTTTATTAAGTCTGTAGGCCAGAACATCTCTGCAGAACAACAATATTTATTTTGATACACACGTCACCTTTTACAAATTGAACATTACTGCAGGCTACATTGGGCTGCATTTTGAAGTCATTTTTCAGCCCTGAACACCATGACAAACTAGACATTTCAATATTTCACATGTGTGTGCCTGTGCGTGAGTGAGTCGTGCTTTTGAAGCTGTGTGTTTGGATAAATCGGAGCTTCCCGCTGTGTTTTCCGATGTATCGCTGCTTCTTCTCTCCACTCTCTGTCCGTCTCTTCTGCTGGTGGCCCTGCTGTGTGGAAGCAGAGTGCACGATAAAGTTGTTGTTGCTGTTTGTGTCTCTCTGTCTCTACTCACCTCCAACTTTGTCTGTGTAGTGGTGGATTAATTGAGCTCAGAGGCAGGTCAAAAACAATAATATCCTGTTTCCT